AGCCACACATCGATTTTATATCGCATTTGAGAATAGCAACTGCAATGACTACATTACGGAGAAATATTTCAGTCGAATCTCCAAATTACTGGTACCTGTTGTGATGAAAAGACGAATATACGAAGGTATGTAGATGAATAGTTCTGATGCAGTTTTTGACAAAAAATTCGTTTTAGGCGCAGGCCTTCCTAAGGATTCCTTCATAGCCGTAGATGACTTCCATTCTCTTGAGGACTTGGGAAATTATTTGAACTTTTTGCGTAAAAACGACACAGAATATCTTAGGTAGGTCTAATGTAAATCAAGACAAAAGCTAATTCAAAGCAACAGAAAGGAAACATGAGCTAACGCTTTTGCTAAAAATACTTATCTAAAGGACGTTTTTAGGTATTTCGAATGGACAAAGCACTTTCGAAAGCCTGACACCTATGTGAGCAATGCGCTCTGCAAGCTTTGCGAAGATATCTACAAAGCAAAAAAGCTGAGGGTAAACAACATTAAGGAGTATTATGAAAAAAATCAGTGCTTTTAGGAAATTACACAATTTTTCTTTGATAACTTTTGTAACTTGCTAAATCTTTCCACGTTGAAGAAGTGACGAGGGGAATGCACCCAAACTGGATGGAAAAAAGTTTTCGGACATTTCGTTTAACCGGCTACGTTTGGCATTGAGAGGGAAAGCCCTATACTGTGATTCTGAACGAGCTATAGCACTGAGTTGCGTAATGTAAAAACAAAAAAAGGTAGCAGGTGGCTGAACAAGGGTTACTCCCTCCATCGACGTCACGGTTCTTGTTAGTTTCACATCCTTATTTTGCCGGGCTAACGTAAAGGCGAAGTACTCTCATATAATCTCGTAGGTGCAATCTTCAAAACATTCCCCAAAAAAAGTGTCCGAAAGTTTTTTTTCAGTCGATAGCTGGCATTGAATCTTTACCTAAATAACTACACGGGTAATTTCAAAACGGGTCCTATATCGTGAATTGCATGTGTCTTACCAACAACATACATGTATGTAAATATCAGCTTCCAATGTATTCACTGACTATATGCAGAGCTTAGAGCGTATTGATTGATATCATGAAAATAAATATATTTTCACATCGTGTGTCCAAACTGCGTGCCTTGCTCTTTAAAACTTATGCAGTAACCAAATCAGGCAGTAGTTATATAATTTGCTGCCGAAAACCGATAGAAACTATCTGAATAATTTTTGCCAATAACAACAGAAAAGATATTACAGATTTCCTGTTCCAATCTTTGGCATCTCAACTATTTTCTTCACGGGATTATTCCCTGTCCCTATATGAACTTCTCAATGTACAATGGTTGCGTTAGACATATGCCAGAAAAGTGACTGCACGAACGTGACTGGAAAGAAGAAGAAATGGAAAAGCAAGGCACAGAAAGTTGAAAGAAAAAATTATTTATGATTAAGCCAAAATTAGCAAATAGGACAACAGATTCTGAGATGGTCTGAACCATGGTTAGACCGACAGCAGCAAAAATGCTTGCTTAGGAGAAAACTATGATAAAAATA